GCATGCAGAAAACGGCTCCATCCTATATATCATGCAGGGAACTGCTCCGCCCCAGATAGCATGCAGAAAACTGCTCCATTCCAGATAGCATGCAGGAAATGGATCCACCCCAGATAGCATGCAGGAAACTGTTCCATCCTATATATCATGCAGGGACTGCTCTACCCCAGATAGCATGCAGGAAACTGCTCCAACCCAGACAGCATGCAGGAAACTGCTCCATCCTTTCATAGCATGCAGGAAACTGCTCCATTGCAGATATCATGCAGGAAAATGCTCCATCCTAGATAGCATGCAGGAAACTGCTCCATTCCAGATAGCATGCAGGAAACTGTTCCATTCTAGATAGCATGCAGGAAACTGCTCCATCCCCAGCTAGCATGAAGGAAACTGTTCCATCCCAGATAGCATGCAGGAAACTGCTCCATCCCCAGATAGCATGAAGGAAACTGTTCCATCCCAGATAGCATGCAGGAAACTGCTCCATCCCAGATAGGAACTGCTTCATTCCAGATAGCATGCAGGAAACTGCTCCAACCCAGATAGCATGCAGGAAACGGCTCCATCCCAGATAGCATGCAGGAAACTGCTCCAATCCACAAAGCATGCAGGAAACTGCTCCACCCCAGATAACATGTAGGAAACTGCTCCACCCCACATAGTATGCAGGAAACTGCTCCATCCCAGATAGAAGGCAGGAAACTGCTCCACCCCAGATAGCATGCAGAAAACTGCTCATTCCTAGATAACATGCAGGAAACTGTTCCATCACAGATAGCATGCAGGAAACTGCTCCACCCCAGATAGCATGCAGAAAACTGCTCATTCCTAGATAACATGCAGGAAACTGTTCCATCACAGATAGCATGCAGGAAACTGCTCCACCCCAGATAGCATGCAGGAAACTGCTCCATCCCAGATAGCATGCAGGAAACTGCTCCATCCCCAGCTAGCATGCGGGAAACTGCCCCATCCCCAGATAGCATGCAGGAAACTGTTCCATCCCAGATAGGAACTGCTCCATTCCAGATAGCATGCAGGAACCTGCTCCAACCCAGATAGCATGCAGGAAACTGCTCCAACCCAGATAGCATGCAGGAACCTGCTCCACCCCAGATAACATGCAGGAAACTGCTCCATCCCAGATAGCATGCAGGAAACTACTCCACACCAGATACATTGCAGGAAACTGCTCCATCCCAAATAACATGCAGGAAACTGCATAATCCCCAGCTAGCATGCGGTAAACTGCCCCATCCCCAGATAGCATGCAGGAAACTGCTCCATTCTAGATAGCATGCAGGAAATGGCTCCATCCCAGATAGAATGCAGGAAACTGTTCCATCCCAGATAGGAACTGCTCCATTCCAGATAGCATGCGGGAACCTGCTCCAACTCAGATAGCATGCAGGAAACTGCTCCACCCCAGATAGCATGTAGGAAACTGCTCTATACCAGATAGCATGCAGGAAACTGCTCCACACCAGATACATTGCAGGAAACTGCTCCATCCCAAATAACATGCAGGAAACTGCATAATCCCCAGCTAGCATGCGGTAAACTGCCCCATCCCCAGATAGCATGCAGGAAACTGCTCCATCCTAGATAGCATGCAGGAAATGGCTCCACCCCAGATAGCATGCAGAGAACTTCTCTACCCATGATAGCATGCAGGAAATGGCTCCACCCCAGATAGCATGCAGGAAACTGCTCCATCCTAGATATCATGCAGGAAACTGCTCCACCAAGATAGCATGCAGGAAACTGCTCCATCCCAGATAGCATACAGGAAACTGTTCCATCACAGATAGCATGCAGGAAACTGCTCCACCCCAGATAGCATGCAGGAAACTGCTCCATCCCCAGCTAGCATGCGGGAAACTGCCCTATCCCCAGATAGCATGCAGGAAACTGTTCCATCCCAGATAGAATGCAGGAAACTGCTCCATCCCAGATAGGAACTGCTCCATTCCAGATAGCATGCAGGAAACTGCTCCATCCCAGATAGGAACTGCTCCATTCCAGATAGCATGTAGGAAACTGCTCCAATCCACAAAGCATGCCGAAACTGCTCCACCAAGATAGCATGCAGGAAACTGCTCCATCCCAGATAGCATGCAGGAAACTGCTCCATCCCAGATGGCATGCAGGAAACTGCTCCACCAAGATAGCATGCAGGAAACTGCTCCATCCCAGATAGCATGCAGGAAATGGCTCCATCCCATATAGCATGCAGGAAATGGCTCCACCCCACATAGCATGCAGGAAACTGCTCCATCCCCAGCTAGCATGCGGGAAACTGCCCCATCCCCAGATAGCATGCAGGAAACTGTTCCATCTCTGATAGCATGCAGGAAACTGCTCCATTCCAGATAGCATGCAGGAAATGGTTCCACCCCACATAGCATGCAGGAAACTGCTCCATCCCCAGCTAGCATGCGGGAAACTGCCCCATCCCTAGATAGCATGCAGGAATCTGTTCCATCCCAGATAGCATGCAGGAAACTGCTCCATCCCAGATAGGAACTGCTCCATTCCAGATAGCATGCAGGAACCTGCTCCAACCCAGATAGCATTCAGGAAACTGCTCCACCCCAGATAGCATGTAGGAAACTGCTCCAATCCACAAAGCATGCAGGAAACTGTTCCATCCCACAAAGCATGCAGGAAACTGCTCCACCCCAGATAACATGCAGGAAACTACTCCACACCAGATACATTGCAGGAAACTGCTCAATCACAGATAACATGCAGAAAACTGCATAATCCCCAGCTAGCATGCGGTAAACTGCCCCATCCCCTTATATCATGCAGGAAACTGCTCCAGCCCAGATATCATGCAGAAAACTGCCCCATCCCCACATAGCATGCAGGAAACTACTCCACACCAGATACATTGCAGGAAACTGCTCCATCCCAAATAACATGCAGGAAACTGCATAATCCCCAGCTAGCATGCGGTAAACTGCCCCATCCCCAGATAGCATGCAGGAAACTGCTCCATTCCAGATAGCATGCAGGAAATGGCTCCATCCCAGATAGAATGCAGGAAACTGTTCCATCCCAGATAGGAACTGCTCCATTCCAGATAGCATGCAGGAACCTGCTCCAACTCAGATAGCATGTAGGAAACTGCTCTATACCAGATAGCATGCAGGAAACTGCTCCACACCAGATACATTGCAGGAAACTGCTCCATCCCAAATAACATGCAGGAAACTGCATAATCCCCAGCTAGCATGCGGTAAACTGCCCCATCCCCAGATAGTATGCAGGAAACTGCTCCATCCCAAATAACATGCAGGAAACTGCATAATCCCCAGCTAGCATGCGGTAAACTGCTCCATCCCAGATAGCATGCAGGAAACTGCTCCATCCTAGATAGCATGCAGGAAACTGCTCCACCCCAGATAGCATGCAGGAAACTGACCCACCCCAGATAGCATGCAGGAAACTTCTCCACCCCAGATAGCATGCAGGAAACTGCTCCATACCCAGATAGCATGCAGGAAACTGCTCCATACCCAGATAGCATGCAGGAAACTCTCTGCTCAGCCATAGGAAAGACATTTAATTTGTATTGCTCAGCATGATTTATAGTTATAGGTCTAAATCGCTCAGACCTATTTGTCTGCTTGTTTTAAGACTGTGAATGCTAAACAGAGCTTTGTATCTGTTTACATGACATGTTATACCTCATTCTGGATCAGCATTTTCAAGTTAGTGGCCTTTAGAGAAACAGACAGTTTTAATTTATTTTAAACTATTGTATCCTGTGTCAGGAAGTCTGTGCAGAGTGAGAGACATTCCGGACAGCGACAAGTCACTTGCTGCTTACTATGGTGACACTCCCCTCTGTGAATGTCCCTGTGAGTGCTAATACTCAGATTAAGGGATTCCTTCACTAATCTAGCTGTTATGGTTATTTAAACAACCTACTTTGGTCTGATTCCCACATTAAATGTTGGTTATGTTTTCTAGCTCAGAGTTTAAAAGCAGGCTGTCAGCTTGGCTTTTAACTAAAAGAAAACGTAAAATCATCACAACTGTTTAGTGAATAAACCCCCATCTCAATACTACTCCTCCAGTATTGCTCGCTGCTTAATGTAAGTGCCTGCACCACAACAAGCCATTTATTGTTTAAATCATTTATTTTTATCTGTATTTCCCTTTTTGTTAAAGTCTTTTTAGATAATGAGTTTGGAGAATGTAACATTTATTTAATATATTAATTATATCTCTATGAACCAGCGCAGAGTTCAGTATTGATGAGATGTCATTGTCCCTTACAATCTATACATCTCGTGCTTTCATGTTCTGTACTGGCACATGACATAACAATACATTCGTAGTGACAATATCACATGAATCGGTTTATAGCAATATCCCCAACAGCTTAATATTATTTGACAGAAGAACCTTAGAATTGCTCAGTATCTCCCAGCATCTCACCATCCGGACATTAGGAATATAAGATACTTTCAGAATCGAATGAGTCTTTGCTCAAGAAAAAGCAAACTCTAAAACCCAGTCAGCCCCAAGTACGTAACACAGAAAGAATCATCTAATTAAAAGAAAACGGAGAGAGGATACAATATGTAACATGATGGACCCTTGCACTATGTATGCTTTGATAGCTGATTGTCTTACAGAGTTCATAATATTCATTTCTTTATTTGAGGAAGAACAATCTGCTGTATCATGCCATATATTATTATTTAAACCAAACGCTGGTGACCGTACGAGTGGTTAAACCCCTGCCTAGTTTTTTTCATTGGCAGGCTACCCCCCAATTGTTAAACCACTACCTAGTCCATGATGCACATTTAGTAGCCATGTTTGGGAAGGTGTCTGCAGTGTTTGTATCAAGGGGAGACTTGGACAATTGGTCCAGAAGTTAAATTAATTACAGCTAGTTACACCAATCAAAAACAATTTCCACTGACATCCCAAAAACAGTGCCCAAGAAATAATGAAGCTGTATTATCACGTGATGGTATTTAGAGAATGTGAGCAGAAGGAGCTGTATTATCACGTGATTGTATATAGAGAATGTGAGCAGAAGGAGCTGTATTATCACGTGATTGTATATAGAGAATGTGAGCAGAAGGAGCTGTATTATCACGTGATGGTATATAGAGAATGTGAGCAGAAGGAGCTGTATTATCACGTGATGGTATATAGAGAATGTGAGCAGAAGGAGCTGTATTATCACGTGATGGTATATAGAGAATGTGAGCAGAAGGAGCTGTATTATCACGTGATGGTATATAGAGAATGTGAGCAGAAGGAGCTGTATTATCACGTGATGGTATATAGAGAATGTGAGCAGAAGGAGCTGTATTATCACGTGATGGTATATAGAGAATGTGAGCAGAAGGAGCTGTATTATCACGTGATGGTATATAGAGAATGTGAGCAGAAGGAGCTGTATTATCACGTGATGGTATATAGAGAATGTGAGCAGAAGGAGCTGTATTATCACATGATGGTATATAGAGAATGTGAGCAGAAGGAGCTGTATTATCACATGATGGTATATAGAGAATGTGAGCAGAAGGAGCTGTATTATCACGTGATGGTATATAGAGAATGTGAGCAGAAGGAGCTGTATTATCAGGTGATGGTGTATATCTATTGTATATTTCCATGTGATTTTACAAACAAGAGAGGGCGTCCTAATTCCTAATAACCATCAAGAATATAAGTCAGTTAGCACGTGGGTCACACAGCCATCTAGCTCCCTTGGTTGAGTTGTTATTACTGCTGTACAAAAGAGACTAGGAATCATGTGCAGGTGTTACTCCGATTTGGATGAAACTTTTTCTTTCAAAAAATAGCCATGGCCAGCTTGGGGATTCTATGTGACAAAGCTTTGCTGTTACTGCTATATAAATATCGATATCCATTATTAAAGAGGTTTGTAAATAACAATCTGTGATGTGGCATGAATTCCATGGGCAGCTACATGGAGGAACCTCTGTTTTCTCATAGGTGTATATTAAAGATATTCGTTCTTTTTTTTTTAAATGTGTAATTCTCTTTTTCTCAACAACATTGAACGGCATGATAGCCAAATATAATTATTCAGATTGCGCATTTCAATCTTACCTCATTGGTTTTAACCATATAAAAATAATAAAAAGATGGGTTAAACACTGTTTCTGTTACTCTGGTAATACAAGTCTTCAACTGTCAGTTCCATCACCGTTTATCACATGACTACAGTCTAGTTTTAACACGACATAGAAACATAGAATGTGACGGCAAATCATCCGGCCCATCTAGTCTGCTCAATTTTCTAAATACTTTCATTAGTCCCTAGCCTTATCTTATAGTTAGGATAGCCTTATGCCTATCCCACGCCTGCTTAAACTCCTTTACTGTGTTAACCTCTACCACTTCAGCTGGAATGCTATTCCATGCATCCATTACCCTCTCATGACCCAGAGTAAAGACGTTTTATGGTATAAATCGGCCCTGTGGACTATGTGGTGGGGATCACTTGGGACGTAAATCAACATAACTCGTGGGGTACGTCATTGCACACCCTTGATCTAGACATATGTGAAAGTCTCCAGTCTCCTCCTACGTTCATCTCTGAGGTTTAAGAATCGCTATAACCAAACTCTGAGCCAAGATATGTTTGTAGACCCTGTGAAAACGCGTGCCAGACTTTCCTACAAGCAAAGTATTGAAATAAGTCTGGAGGAGATACATCTGGACATTGTGGTTGGGAGCTGCATTAAGACCTAAGAGGTAGGTGATTTAATCGAAAGAAAACATCATACGGTTTCTATTTGGTCACTTACCAGCCTGTAGATTACAAATGAGCTCTTCTGACTTCAATACAATATATCTTTTCTGAATAACGATGGATCTTTACCAGGAAATAAATAATTACAGACACAGCAGCTCAAAGACTTTCGGTGTAAATATTTTAGATGAACCATGAGTATTAATGGTACATTCCAGAGACAAATTGGACTGCAGCACTAAGCAGATTTCTTAGGTTTCAAAAGGTTTTGACCTCATGCTTATGCAGTGTTTTTCTTATTTTTTACTGAAAAAAATTATATTTTGTAGCTTCCTGCAGTGTAATTCCACCCCTTAGCTACACCTCCCCTTTCCACAAAACATCTTCCTGAATGGAAGGTGCACAGGGTAGCATAGCCAATAAGAGACCAGTGTGAGCTGCTGGCTTGAATCACTGCCCTTATAATATCTGTATAGTTTTTCAAAGCCATGATAGGAGGAAACAGAACAGAAAATGTAAGGGAATTGATTGGCTGTGGGGGGAGAGTTATGTTGGAAACTTAGCTCACTCTAATCTCTCATTGGTTGAGATTAGTATGTACTCGGGGTACTTATAATAAGAAAGTTGTTTTGTGAAAATAGGGGGTGTGGCTAACAGGGGTAGAATTATACTACACAAAGTTGCAAAACTAAAAATAAAATGGTAAGTATAGAATATGGACAAAGACATCTGGTTATAATCAGACATTATGCGGTTCAACTGAATTGATCTGTATCGGAAAAAATAAATAAATAGTTTGAGTGGTCCAAATTTTGTCCATGCAAACATTTCAGAAAAATGTATTCAGATGAATCAGAATGGTGGGACAATAGGCCAGTCAGTATACAGCAACAATTGTACATAACATACATATTTATTAAACATATCATATATTAATATAGATATATATTTTTATATAATATTCAGTGGCTGTACCCTAACCATCAATCATCTCCTGAACGGAACTCCAAATCACGAATCAAGCAAAACTGTTTGTCCATTTGTTTATTTTGTGATTCTGTCATATGGCAATTGGTAGATATGGAATTCCCTATGATCCGCTTACCATTTGTTTGAAACCAAATGCACAAGTCTAATTCCTAAACTACTGGCTAGACGGTTTGATTAGTTCAGCACTGAACAGCTCCCTATCACAGGAGAAGAGTAATGTAGGAAAACAAACCATTAATGTACCATGAGTTAAAAGATCACTATAGGGTCAGGAACATAAACATGTATTCCTGACCCTATAGTGTTAAAACCACCATCTAGCCCCCCTGGGCCCCTCATGCCTCCATAAATATAGAAATCTTACTGTATTCAAGCCAGAAGCTGTAGCTCTGCATGCTGTTTGGCTCAGAAAAACAAGCAGTCTGCTGACATTATTAGAAGTGGTAGCCTGATCCAATCACAATGCTTCCCCATGTGATTGGCTGAGACTGACAAGGAGACAGATCGGGGCAGAGCCAGCAAACACAGTCCTGGCCAATCAGCATCTCCTCATAGAGATACATTTATTCAATGGATCTCTATGAGGAAAGTTCAGTGTCTGCATGCAGAGGATGGAGATACTGAATGTTTGGATGCATTTTAGGCAGCCATGACCCAGGAAGGATCTCTAACAGTCATCTGAGAAGTGACCAATGAAGTTATCACTAGGCTGTAATGTAAACACTGCATTTTCTCTGAAAAGACAGTGTTTACAGCAAAAAGCCTGAAGGGAATGATTCTACTAACCAGAACAAATTCAATAAGCTGTAGTTGTTCTGGTGACTATAGTGTCCCTTTAATAAAGGTTTACACTGTATGAATAATATGCAATAATGATTAAACTACCAAGTATATTTATTATAAAATGTATAGGTGGAATATAGGCTTTGATCCAAGCAAATAATTTAGATTTCAGTTATTAGTAGATCTACACTGTAATGAATGAATCCACAGTCCATCTCTCTCACCATAACCTCTAAACTCCTTCAGACCAGAGGTTCGTAAGTCAGGACCCAAGACTGGAGTGGTGTAGAGGTTCACAGTGACTGGAAAATGCATTTTAGATGTTTTCCCCCCTTTATTTTCTATCTTTTTTTTCATCAGAACATCTTTTTGTAGAGCAAGCCTCATATATATATATATATATATATTTATTGTGGTCTGACCCTAAGATTAAAAATTGTTATGCAAAGTATTTATTAAATCTGTCCTCTGACCCCTGAACCTTAACACTATCCAAGTTGTTCGATAATTTTTCAGTAGCAGTCGGAAAACTGTCTGTTTGATGGGAAGTTCGTTGTAAAGTGCGATTAAAAATATGCCCCCACCTTCACCCAGTCTTTTCGGATAACACAACAATGGATAAATTGAGCTCTTGGCTCCACCACAAACCTTGAGATACTGCAGAATATATAAATCCAAAGCTGTTATGGCTGCAGGACTTTGAGTATAGACTATATAATGGTATATTCACTATATTATGGAGAATGGAGATAGGAATTGGAAACTGGAGGCTGGAATAATTGAGCTGGTAAATGACTGAGTGGGAATATTGACCTACAATTTGCAATTCTTTTCTTCACAACTTCCATTTTAGAGAATAACCACAATTAGTGTTTTGGTGGCATTACTTTTAGTGAGCGAAGGTCAATGATCTCTTCTAAACAATGTCTATCAGTCTGCTGCCACTGATGCAAACAGTTAGACAGACCAACAGCTTTCTATAGAATACTCGGATAACACAGCAGCTCACACAGGAGGGGGCAATTAACCCCCCCCAATATCTTCTACACTCAAGTTACAATGTAACTGCTGTCTGTAGAATACTCAGGGAACACAGCAGCTCACACTAAAGGAATGGGAGGGTGTGGGGGAGGAGGAAGGGCAATTAACCAATCCCCCAAATATCTTCTACACTAAAGGGATATGGACATTACAATGTAACAGCTGTCTGCAGAATACTCCGGGAACACAGCAGCTCACACTGGAGGGGGCAATTAACCAAACCCCCCCAATATATCTTACACTAAAGGTATAAGGACATTAGAATGTAACTGCTGTCTGTAGAATACTCAGGGAACACAGCAGCTCACACTGGAAAGGGGGGAGGGAGTGCAATTATCCAAAACCCCAATATTTTCTACACTAAAGGGATATGGACATTACAATGTAATTGTGTGTAAAATAATCAGGGATTAACCAAACCTCCCAATATATTTTACACCAAAGGGATACGGACATTACAATGTAACTGCTGTTTGCAGAATACTCCGGGAACACAGCAGCTCACACTGGGAGGGGGAGGAATTAACCAAAACTCCCCAATATCTTTTACCCTAAAGGGATACGGACATGTAAGGGCAGGTAGGATGTGAATTAAATTCCATAAATATTTTGTAATTAATTAACTCGCCAAGCAGTATGGTTTCCCTATCCAGACTCTTCGTTCATTGTGTTCTGTTAGAAAGAGGAGCTTGGTTTATTTCTTACGTTTCGTTATCATTCGGAGCAGTTATTGCTATAAATGGCAAAGCAAGGTGAGATTTATTTCAGTGGAAGCGGGCTCCCCAGCAGGACAGATGAACTCCTTGTATAGTCAGAGTTTAAAAGTCATTAAAACCACTGAGATCCAGGAGTCACAGGATTAAATCACTACCATTAAACTAGCAACGGGAAACGGGGACGTTTATTAGCTGGGCAAGTATTTCACAGTGAATTTAAACAATGACAGGTTAATAGCTGTATAATTTTGCTGCCTGGACCTTTCCTAATAGACTTGAAGAACTTTATAGCAAGGACACGAAGCTGTGGGAGGCATTACCTGTGTTGCTTTGTTTAGACCAAAACTCACATCACTCTCTGCAG